CGCCCACCCCTCCCCGAGCACACGTGAGGCGCTTACACCGGCTCCCGCGAATAAAAGAGGGAGCTAAACAAAGGGAGACACGAAAGGCCCTTTTATTTCGCAGCTTGGCCCTCCCCCGCCCGAGCGCAGCCGGCTCTGACGGAACGGCCACACCCCGCCACGCCACGCCTAGTATAGCACGGCGCTTCGCCGAATAAAGGGAATGAATGAAGGGGAACACGGGGGGACGCCGCTCTGATTTCACAGGTGTTCCCCGGATTACGTCGTCATGGGATGTCCAACACCCGATGATCGATTCGCTGTCCTTCTCTCCCGCGGCCAGATCTGAAGTGACGCGGCCGGGGAAGGCCCTGGCCTGGCGGCCCCGGCCCCGCCCTGCTTCGCTGTGACGGAGCGTGGCAGCCGAGCGATCCATCTCCACGTTTTTCGGGGATTTTTACCGTTTTCTTTTCTCTGCCCCTCTTTGCCATGGAAGGCCCCCCTCTTACAGGGTAGCGGTGCGGCGCGGGGGCTGCGCGGGCTGCTGGCTGGATATTGTAGGAGTGTAGTGCAGGGACGGGCCGGGACCGAATGGCGCCTGGACCATGGCGCCCGCCCCTCCTCCCCCACCCCTCCCCCTCGCGCCACGGCGCCCGGGCGAGGCGGGGCTGGGCGGGGCGGGCCAGCCCGCCGGCAGCGGTGGCGGCAACCCCCGAGGCTCGCCTGCCCCTCCGCGCTCAGTGGGCGCTGCGCCGCGGGAGGGTGAGGTTGGGCGGCTGGGCGAGCCGCGCGTGCCGGTACAGCGTGACGCGGCGTGTGTGTGTGACGAGCTGCGGCCCGCCTGACAGCGACAGCGTGACGACGTGACAACCCCTCGGGCGACGAGCTTCCGACCCCCGCGACGAATCCGGCGGCGTCACGCCCCCCTTCCTCCGCGTGACGGGGGGGGGACTGCGGCTGCGCGCCGGCTGAGCAGCGCGTCGTCGTGTGTGCGAGCGAGCGTGTGACGACGTCCGGCGGGTAGTGTGACGGGTGTGACGGCCCGTGGAGGCCCGGCGCCGAGGGCCGCGCTGCTGCTGCTGCTGCTGCTCCTCGCCCGGACGGCGGCGCGGGCTGCCCCCTGCATGCCCTCAGGAAGCTCCTCGGTAAGGAGGGCGACGACGCGAGGCGCGCGTAGGCTGGCCTGGCTGGCCTGGCTCCCCCGCCCCCTCCGGTCCGGCCGCGGCCGCTGTCAGGCAGGAGCCGCCCGCGTTACCCAATTACCGCGACAGCCGAGCCGAGCCGCTGGTGCGGTCCCTCGGCTGCAGGGGGGAACGTCCCTGCGTGTGAACATCCCCCTCCTGAGGCCATTCCGGAGGCGGCACAGAGGATCATTAATTATGACGAAAGTTTAATTGAAGAAGAGTCATTTCGCGAGTGGGGCTGGCGACCTGGCTCAGCCAACGCGCCTACCAGCTGGAGGGAGGCAGCGCAAGAGAGAGAGGGGGAG